AAAAATGCTTTCAGTTTTAGGTTCAGTTTCAAAAGTACAATGTAAAAAATATGGGACGTGGGTTACGTTTTGACCTCTAATAGGAATTTCAGAGGACTGAAATAATGACATTTGTATTTGTTTAAGAACACATAAAGTACAAGTTATCTCCCTTTGCATGACTGTTGGTATACATATGCACTCTTTAGGTTTAAATTTTGGTACACACACATTAATTTTTTCCGGTCATTTAAGTCTTTGGAAATTGTCTATGGGAGTTTCTATGTTAAATTTGAAATCATTCATTTAAGGCTTTTGCTGAGAATTACTAAGATGTCCTTGTGAAATTCAAGGTGTTAAATGCCTGTGACCTTGTTCCAACCTCATTAGGATTTTAAAGTCAAATTCCTGAAAATAAGTGATTTCAAAAGGCCAAAACCAGAATACAGACTTCTCCCTGTAACATTTTTATTTCCCAACCAATATTTAAATTGATTTCGTTTTTGGTTCAGCTTAAAAAGTACAATGTAAAATTATGGTCCGTGGGATCACTTTTTGACCCCTAAGAGGACTGAAATAATGAAATTCGCGACCGGCTAAGATAACTAAGATAAGGTTGTTCGTAAAATATCAAACTATTCAAACTGAAGTTACTTCTCTGAACTACCTAGATATGACGTCATAATAGGATATGACGTAAAGTCTCTTCATATTAGAGCTTACATGACGGGAAAGGTGTCAAAATTTTTACATATGGCATGTAGATTTTTATGGGGCGTTGTTGTATAAGTAAAATACTGGGATTGTTTTCATGCTCCATATGCTGTTATGATGTTGAACATTTGAAAATCCTGTCCAATATGCACTTATTCAAACAATAGAGAAAAATTATATGTGAATGCTCCCCGTACACGTCCGTGGTGAGAAATTGAATTTATGAATAGTGTTATATTTGAGGGACACAATTGAAAGACAAGGATAAATTGAAGATATGCTGCCTTAATCAAAAAAATAAGTTTATGCTCTAAGTAACTGAATTTTTCTGGGGGGTCGTATGTACATGTAGTTTATCCATTTTTGTATAAATCGCGATAACGAGTGGAAAATACCCTTTCTTATGTTGGTAAGTTGAATTTCTCGTTAAATATTTTCTCAAGAAGTAAAAATCTAACCGGCCCCAGCACTTTTTATGTACCGGAGATCACAATGAATTGATTTATGTAACAAACTTTGCACAGTAATTTTGCTTTGCACTTGTGCCGAACCGATTTTTTTCAACATCTAAGAATAACATAAATGTCCTTTACATGATCAACACAGTCATGTGACATCACAGAATTGCTTTATTATAATACCTGATTAATCTATTTTCTCAAGTTGACTGCAATTTCAAACAAGGATCACATATTGAAATTAAAAACAAGCTCATATTCAATGTATATTTTTAAGGCATTTTAAGCCTTCGGACAGCCTTATCATCACTGCAGTTTTTTTGTCCAAGAACACATAAAGAACGAGTTATCTCCCTTCGCATGGCTGTTAAACGTTGGTATGCACATGCATACTTTAGGTTTCAATTTTGGTACACACACATTAATAACCTCCGGTGATATAAGTCTTCGAAAATTGTCTATGGGAGTTTCTATGTTAGATTTGAAATCACGCATTTCACGTTTTCTCTAAAAGTAACCAAGATATTCTTGTGAAATTCAAGGTATACAATGACTGTGACCTTGTTCCGACTTAATTAGGTTTTTAAAGTAAAACTCTTGAAAATAAAAGATTTTAAGGGGCCAAACCTGAAAACAGACTTTTTCCTGTAACTTTTTATTTTATTTCTCAACCAATTTTAAAATTGATATTCAGTATTTTGCGTTCACTTTTAAGTGTACAACGTAAAAATATGGCCCATGGGGTCACTTTTTGACCCCTAATAGGAGTTTTAGAGGACTGAAATGATGAAAATCGTATTTGTTCAAGAACACAAAAAGTACGAGTTATCTCCCTTTGCATTGTTGTTGATATGCATCACTCTCTACCATTGGCTCATACATTCACCTCTGTCGTTGGCTCGTGTATATCGCAGTGATAAACACGAGAAATAGTGCGTTTGTTTTAATTCACGATAATTCAATTTCAATGATTATGTATGAGTTTTTAGTTAGATATTTACTAAATAAATCCAGAACTATTAATCTAATTTGAAATAATCCTGCAAATATCACGTTTTATACGTTATGTCAAAAATCTTGACGTGAGCCCATAGCAGAGGTGTCTGAGAGAGGAACGAACGACAACTCTGCATGGGAGATTGGATATGCATATGACGTCGTGCAGAGTATTGGGGTTTGAAATTGCGTAACATGTAACACAGACTGTAAACGAAGGGCGTTTGTATTTTTTTGGTCATTTTGTCGTTTTAACTTTATGAATTTTTCTGGAAATTTGTACCAAGCTTCTATAACTTCCTGTGATGATGTTACACAAAATTTATTAATTAATCTCAAAAATACTGACCGATTCCGACGGTTCGTAATATTGGAAGTATTCCGTAATATACCATAATCTTGACGAATAACAAAAATAAATGAAATGTTTGGTAACAATCTTTTACTATATAACAGGTTATTTTCGTAAATCTAAGTTGATAAATGAAATGTGCAAATCAAGAAGTAGTCAAAAATTTCCACGAAAAATTATTAGCAAGTAGTAAGAGAAATAAACAGAGCGATTTGATGTCTAGTCGGTTTTGTTACTACGATACAAATATGCATATGATGGTATTTAACTAGGCGTAAAGCACCGATATGATGTGTATTTTCTATTGATTGGGAAAACTTTTAAAATGTGCAAATGAATAAAATTTCGTATTAAAAGAAACACCAAGATAAGACATTTTTAAGAAAGAAGGAGCAAAAAATGGATGTCTAGTATAATTTGTTACGCCTTAAATTTTTCGCTTAAACGACGTATACAATAACTTCAAAAATTATATTTTGACGTTACCAAATAAGCCCCAATTCTTTGTGCGACGTCATATGCTCTCTTTATATTTCAATTCTTGAATCTTTAATTTACACTTAGCTGCAGACTATAATATGTTTTCTATTCAGTATTGACCTCAAAAGAAATTCTGCGATATATTGTACCATGTGGGTTTTTACAGTGTAAACTTGATTTTTCTTTCTTGATTTAAAGGGATCGAAAAGCCCTCCGTTTTTGTTGAACGTCAAAAAGGTCTAGTTCATCTTGCAATTTGCATTTCTATGAATTGAGAAATAAATAGAAAAATATTTAAATTTTACCTGCCAATTCTAGTTTCATGCGCACAAAAATCAACTGAGGCGAAGGCTAAGCTATAACCATACTACTCCTTAAATGTAAAAAATGTTTGAAAATTTTTAAATCTACACGTTTAATGATGTCAAGGTTTTCATTTCCTCATATTTCAAAGCCATAAGTCAAAACTGGACAACAACTTTGTCAAAAAAAATCTATTTGACATCCAGTTGATAAGTAAATTGTCGTATCTTCCCTATAACATTATACATTGATTTCTTTGCTTGTTCACATAAATGCTTTTTGGCTTTACAAAATGAGCTTAGGCCTGAAAATATTATCCAGAGATACTTAAATTCTCAAATTTACATGTCTGATAACAGATTGATAGAAAACACTAAAACATTTTAGTACATGTTTCACACCTCGAACAAAGGGTTTTTGCTGCTACCAAATCACTTGGTACACCCCAAGCCCAAGCTTCATGGTTGGGTGACTCTGCCATTGTGTGCATAATTATTGAGCAAATCATTACCAATGATAGGTTACAATCATGGACACAGGACAAGGCCACCAGACAATGAATAATGGACCCGATGTGCTACATAGTAAAAAATATCTACATAGTTACATGAATAAGTACAGGAAGAAAGATCTCTTTCTCTTTCCCTGTCTTTCTTCCTGAATTATTCAACTTTAGTTAAAATTAAAGTTAAGTATGAAAAAATTAAATGAAATTTAAAATTAAAATCACTAGTTTAAAAGAGAAATTTAAGAAATGTCTATTGATGGAATATTTAGGATTTACCGTTTACATTGGTACTTTAATCAGAATTATCGCAACAAGAAGTGAGAACAATAAAATTTTACTTACTATTTAATTTATTCTTCGATTCCAATTAATAAACAGATATGGACTGATTGGTACACAGCAAAACGTCTAAATATTATTTTTTTTCACGAGGTTCAAATACGTCCTATATTGCTCAAGTAGTGTACATGTATATTCGACCGTAAACCTTAGTTTCTTTTCCTGCTTTTCGTTTTTTGTGGAATTCTTTGCTTTCTGGGAGAAATTTATCAATTTTACCACCCAAAACAAATGTTTAATAATGTCCGCCAAACTAATCCATTAAAATAATCTGACTATCTTCATACAGAGATTTTTTAATCTATTGAAGTGAACCTGTATTGTGTTTGAAAACTACTCACAGTAGACCGTCACCTGACAGGTAGATATTACCTAAAGGGTATAATTATCAAATCTGGGCCCGTACAAAATGGCAACATTCAGGGTCAAACTATCGTTATCTTGATTGAATAATAATAAACACACAAAGATATGTAATTAAATAGACAGAGACACAAAGGGCTTAATTTCTCGTGTGAAGCATGTACTAAGTATGTACTCGCTTCGCTCGGCACCAAATCTCATGGTACTCGGGAAAAGTTTGACAACATATACTTGGAAAACTTTGATACAATTATGCACTACATGCATATGTATTTTATTTTTTATCTATTTATTTGTTTTTTGCATTTAACAAACGATAATATTATAAGTGCTATCAAAGTCATGCAAACAATAATCAATAATAACAATGCTGTTTTCGCCTTATCAAATGATCTCGCCATTTATTGTTGAACAATACTACATTTTAAGTCCGCAATATGTGCTTGTTTACATGTATCTTTATGTGCTCTAACTGTTTCCTTACTTGTACATTCTGAAGCTGGATCAATCTCCTTTGACTTCAATCAAAAAAGAAAAATATTTACACATAGATTAATTCTGTCTCCAGGTGGATGAAGTAGTTTTTCAAATTTATGGGTTTTTTTTAACTTTCCTGATTTCCAAATCTGAATTCTTTGCAAGAGACTCTAAAGAAAATTATCCAATCACTTTGTCAAGAATATGCACTAGACAGAATTGTTACCACTTGTTAATTCTTATTTGTGAATTGAGCAATTATAAGATCGGTGCTAGTGTAAGTTCATTTTTTCCAAAACGGTGGGATTTGGAAATGTTTTGGTATCTGTCACATCAAAATATCCTAATCAAACAGGCAAGTAATTTGTATTCACCTGTGGGGAGCCTCCATTTTTGACTGGGTTCATTTAACCCTGTTTTATACCTCAAATCACTGGACCTTTAAAATATTGGTGAGCCCGTTCTTCAGTTTTTGACACGGCAGTCCAGGTAGAAGGACGTTGTCAATACTTCTAAAGATATTTGATTTGTATTATACACATGGCAGACCACTGAGGGTATTTCAACCCAACCCTTATTTAGAATTTATGGTATGCTCCTGCTTCTCTGAGGTGAGCCTTATTTTCGTTTGTTTTTAATATTTTATAAGTTGTAAATATCTTAAAACACCCAGATACGGAATTTCTAAAATATGCAACTTTAAGCTATTCCATTTCATATTTTTAAGTTCTGTTATTCATAGTTACACTTGTATTCAAAACTGCTTGAGTCTTAAATGTACGGTGGCTTGTTTGTATCTTTATTTGTCGGTTCTACGTTCAGTAATCAGGTCCAGTACAATCACTAGATTTAGCTACGTAGCTATATTTACCTACTTAGGTATTTAAACCTACCGAAAATAGCTTAATTTACCTACCAAGTGTTATTTGTTCACATAAAAATCAAAATAAAAATAATCGCACAAAACAAACCCGTGGTCCATGCAGGCGGGAAAGTGACGTAATTAAATCTCGAAAATAACAATATAAAATGGATGCGTTTTCTTTCAATTGTGAGTAAAGTAAGCTAACTTCATGAGTATCAAGCACCTACCTGGTGTTTCTTTGAGTGCTGTGTGTTGTTTATGTAAGAAATGAAGAAAAAAGTGTGCAAGTCCTGAAGTTTGGAGCATAGAGAACGTTGATGTGCAGCTCGGAAGCAGATTGCGGTAAGTAGTTGATGAGGCGGACGCGATAAAGATTAAGATACCCGTGTTTTGATGAAATGTACGGCGGAACGTTAGTGATATATGCTAACATTGGAAATGAGTACATTTAAACATAAATGAGTAGATAAAAACGTTACTGAAGTATGAATGATTTTAGAATCTTAATGTATATTGTTATAGGATGGATAGGAAAAAGATAATAAACATATTAGGCCGTACATATCGTTTTGTCATCATACAAGACTGTCATATAATCTTAGGAATACAATATGGGAAGTCTTGCTATTTGTTTTCCAGGCTGGTAGCAGTTTTATTTCTTTTTTAGGGGATTTGCATGTGTTTATCTTACTTTTCTATTATTTTTTTTTTCAAATGATACAATTTGCTTGTGTTCATCGATACACCCAAAAAAAAAGGGGGGGGGAAGCACCTTTCAATTGAAAAATTACATATTATACTAAAAGTACATACATGTAAATAAAAAGTTGTTTGTAATGAAAAGGATGTAGACTCCTTAGTAAAGAAGAAAGAGCCTAAAATTATTATTGAATTAGTTGTGTATTTCTATATTCTTATTGTAATTTAGGAAAAAAATATTTTAAAATGCCAAGATATGGAAAAAAATAATAAATAATAATGATAAGAGTAAGACACACAAAAATTACTTATTTTTATTGCAGAAAATGCCACCGGTGTGTAGCTGTAAAAAACACAATGAAATAAATAAGAATGAACAATCAAAGGTTTACAAAATAGCAAGTAAAAAGTACAAAAAGTGTGTCCTGGAAGCTCTACAGACAGCAGATTATTTGTGTGAGCGTGCATTATATTTGTGTACAGGATGTGCTAATTATGCAGAACAATGTTTGTTGAAACAATCTTATGATGAAAATGAACAAAAAATCAACGAAGTTATAGAATTAATAAAAAACAAAAAAGTGTCCAATTGCAGTGTAAAGAAACTTATAAAAACAATTGTAGAATGTGAATTGCCACATATTCAGGAAGACTTGTGTGAAATTCAGACACAATACAAAAATGACAATTTCTTACAGACAGTGAATGTTCACGAGTGGTTAAAAGGAAGAAACAGCGTCGTAACAACTTTTCTCTTAGCTATTTCCAATTATGACATTCAAAACATCTCCTCCGACGACTGTAGCCTTATAGCGTTCGGTGTTGAAAGTGTTTACTCCTTATTAAAGAGAAATGTTGTTTTGCCATTTTCTTTCGCCAAGAATTTGTTGTCATACTACTTATGTAGTAACAAAGTCATTTGCACTTTAAATGCTTCTTGTGGACCTGCGGGTTCATACTCTACCATACTTAACTGGATATCTGACCATTCTTTGTCCCATGTAAATGTTTCTTCGTCCAGTGACGTCATTACCTTTTTTGATAACAATCAAGTACTCGCCAGAAACTGGAGAGTTCACTATGATGCAAAGGCCATATTGAGCGCAATAACGACCGTAGTTCACTTTTTTCCTTTCTGTCCTACGGAAATCCAACAGAAAGCAGAACTGTCTCCCAGGCACTGGCTTTACAGCAATTTCTCTTTCCCCAAGCAGTCCATCTTGTCTGCTTACTCTCACTATTCCACCCTTTTTAGGGATTACAGAAAATCTTTCATTTCAGAGAGGATTTCTCTCATTATGAAAGAGCAATTACCTGGACATGACGGCTTCTTTGACTTAATAGACTCGATGCTTGGCAATAAGAGAAAAAAACGTAAGAATGAGGAATCTTCTCACGAGAAATCCAAAATCAAACATGACCCTTACAATTCTATTCCCCACTTTCATGCTGGCCCCCCTTCTATTATGGTTGGGAATCCAATCTCAAAGAACCCCTGTTCATCCGAGGCCGTGAAGGATGTAATTGAAGCCCTGAAAGACGCAACTCAAGTCCCCTCTGTTAGATCATGGACAGTGATCGGTTGTGATGGACTTCCATACGTAATAGCTTCCAGAATTCTTAGGGAACATCAACACCTGCATGATATTCTGCTGTTGCCTGGACAAGGCCATTGGGAAATGAACATGACAAAGGGTAATATAAATTATCCCTTTCCACCATGTTACGAGCACATTTATCGTCCAGCATCCGCACTTCCAACCTTAGCATGGTCATGTATTCCTAAAAATAATAAATCACTTGCACTATAATTGTACAAGAAATAAAATTCTCTTTGATCTTTTTTCTAACATTTATATTTCTTCTTTAATTCTTTCATGCAAATACCTATAAGTTATTGACTAAAACTTCATAAAATAGTGTTATTATCTAGAACTTCGTTGTCTGGAATACCTTAGATATGCCAAAGTGATTTTAACCTCCAACTAACTTTTTCTTTTATATATTTTATTCTCGATTGCTTCAATGGATATCTCAAAGTTTTGATCCCATTTGGTTCGAGATAAGAATACTTGACAGTACAAATAAATGTTTTAAAAGTCAATAAGTTAAAAAATAGAAAAATATTCAACCATGTTAAATTTTCAAAATAATTACATGAAAAGCATAAAGTATCATAATATAGAAAAAGATAATTGATTCATATTTAACAAAAAAAAAAAATACAATAACATCTTCTTACTTCCTACAGGACTTATAAAACTTGTATGGGAAGTTGTCGGAGAGGATTTAGCTAAACTTCTTGGCTACAAATCACCCAAAGCTCTCCAGTCTTGTTTGGAGGGCAATGACCATCATAAAGCCTTCCAATTTTGTGAAATCCTTCTGTTTGGAACAGGTTATATACATTTAAAATATTTTGGAATTTTTTTTAAATATAAATTATTCCCTTCTCACACCTTTTCATTTATGTGAATATACATTTTATACAAACAGCTGACGAGTTGCTTTATCCTTATATCAGCGACTGTTTCAAGAATGAAACAGAGCCATCTGCCAGGGGTTATTTTAAATGGGCTTCTGATGTTGCAGATTGCAATTACAAGTTAGTTAATTTTTTCTTCTTCTTTTTTTTTTAAATGTTTCATTTCAATAAAAGTACATTTCGGCCCTAACTTCAAATAAAACTCGATCTTACCACAAGTACACAAACAACATGGCTGATAGGTCCATGTATCAGTTTTTACCTCCCCTTGTTTCTCATCACTTCCGTTACAACATTTCTTTTATTGAGCGGGAAATTTGAACTAATGAAAAGCAACGATATTTTACACCCGAAGCTGTTTTACTGATTTTAAAATTAAGTAAAAATGAAAAAAAAAACTCTCATTTCTGGATGAAATATTCGAATATAACCTGGTTTAGAACACTTTACACTTTTTTATTGACCCAAAACAGGTTGTACTCCAATATTTTGGCCAAGAATTATAGTGTTTTTCCTAAATTCCTAATTTTAAAAAGCATGCTATACTGCAGGTTTCTTCAAGAAGTTATATTTACCTATACCTTGGCCATTTATGTATTCCGATGTGGAATAAGAAGAAACAACGCTGATGCCATACTATGCGGGCGCCTGAAATTCTCTCCTTTATTCTATGGATTAAATAAAACGAACTATCAACAAATGGAGATATATGATCTTATGATGCGTTTTAGTGCACCAGAGGAAGTGAAAAGTTTCTTACGAAACAATGAATCACTTTCTCGTAAGTTTAATTGTCATAAGAACATGTGTATATTTTTTAAAAAATCCAACCAACGTAATTTACATAATTTTCAATTGTTAATCAATTAATAATTATAGAGTCAGGCCACCCAAGTAAGGGAGAGGGGTGTGACTTTATTCTGGAGTCGAAGAATAAAATGATTAAGAGGTGGCTCCCTCCCGGTGCTCCGAAGGAGAAACACTGGAGACAGACATGCTCCAATTTAGATAGATTAGAGAAGGTAATAAAATAAAAATACAATAAAACATAATGGAAATGTACTTTTTATTTATTGTGCTTAGGACAAAAAAAAAGAAACTTGCTTTAGAATTTTCTTAGTTTTGAAAGAGTATCCTGTGCACCTGTCGTGCACCCAGTAATCGCATTTTTTCCCACGATGGGAACATCCAACCCACTGTCCTTTGTCTTGATCAGACAAACAAATATTGCATTGCTGAGTTAGATCACTATCAAAAGCCTCTGTCTGGGTGTACTTCGGTCTTTTTGTTACTTCCCTTGTCTTCAGGGGACTTCTTTGAGATCTCTTTCTATTAGGAGAAGAGCATGGGGGAAAGGAAGTAGAGGGTTGTGGGGAGGGGTAATTGAAAGAAGGTTCGTTTTCCGAATGGAAGGAAGTTGAAGATTGTGAGGATGAAGTCGAAGGCTGTGAGGAGGAAGTTGATGGTTGTGAGGAGGAAGTTGATGGTTGTGAGGAGGAAGTAGAAGGGTGGGAGGAGGAAGTTGATGGTTGTGAGGAGGAAGTAGAAGGCTGCGAGGAAGAAGCTGAAGATCTTGAGCGGTGTGAAAAAGTAGAAGAGAGATTGGAAGATGTGTTTGAGAGGAGAGAAGAAGAGGGTGCAGGATCTTTGTTAGAATCAACAGAATCTCTCTGTAAATCATTAAACATCTAAAAAAAATATATATATATATATTTCATAGTAATGTTTAAAAGATACGGAACAGTCTTTCAAATAGTACTTAAAATATTTTTATCACCTTATCAAAGTACGGTGTATTATAATGGTACTGCATGCCAGATGGGGTCTTTATCAATAAAGTCACCTCACAGCCTGTTGTTACTGTCAGTTCCTTTGCCTGTTCCAATATATATATATTCTATTATTTTTCCTTTATTTTCTTTTACTTTTTTATTCATTTACTTCTATTATATTTTGTTATATTTATTTTCATTTATTTTTATTTTTTATTATTTTTTTTTATTATAATTTATTTTAATAGATTAGGGAAAATCTGTATCAGTGTTTTGGTCTAAGCAATGAAGAAGACCAAAACATCTACCACACAAACCTCCAAAAAGAAATTCAACAGTGGAGATTAGAGCTGAGAGATACAGAATACTTAATGACCCCGATGAAGGAATCCAAACCTCTCAGTATTTTGAACAAAGATTTAGACCACGACTTAGTAATTTTTTCAATCAACTGCAAAAATAACCTCACTCTTTACTTGCAAGAATGTTCAGAAAACAATACTGTCAAACCATTAAAACTTAATCCAATTTTCATCATTCCGGAAGATAGGAAAAATTTTCATTCTATAGAAAGAAAGACAAAATCTGAGATTGCAAACCTAATTCAAGAGGAATTACAGAGATTGGAAAAAATGGATTACGAACTCGGTAATACATGTATATCATTTGAAACCTTTTGAAAAAGGGGGAGGGGGGTATAAACAAGATCGGGAAAAAATAAATACATGTACATAAGTGTCATTTACATATTATAGGAATACAACAACAACAGCTGTACACAAAAGTGAAAAATGAAAAAAAGGCAATTTTGATTAAATTTTATAAAGACGTCAAGGCAGTGGTTGAGCATATTGAGAGTCGGGATGCCGAGGATAATGATGACGAGGGTGTGTGTATTTTTTTAATAATTGAAATATAATTTATGATTACAAAAAACCCAATATATGATAGAGCATTACCTTATTAAAAAGGGTTTTCTTTCTCTGGTACAGAGTTTGTTTCCTCTTGTCTCCATCCTCAACAAACTCTGTACCAGCAGCCTGACCACTCCTAGGCCTCCCCCGCTTTGGTTGTCCTTTAGAGTTTTTCCCTTTATTGAGTTTTATTTTGTCAAAATTGAATGCTTTGCTCTCCTGTTAAGTAAAATATTAAATTCAAAACATATTATAAAACGTTGATAACGTTACATGTTTCTTCCATACCGCTCACGTACGCCACGCCCCATCCTTACAACGTTATAAATATATATTTTTTTTCTTATATATCTAAATATTTCTTTTATCCTATTTTGTTTTATTTTATTTTGTATTTCATACTTTTCTTTTACTTCATGCATTTCGTTTTTATATTTGTTTATAACGATATTTTCCTCAATATTTATGCTGTCTATGGTGTTCCATAGATATCTGCCTGAATGATGATATTTCTTCCTCATCCGTCTCCGGCTTTTAGTTTCTGACCGCCATTTCCCGTCTACATCCATTACAAGTCTCGCAGAGCAGGATAGTGCAGGTATGTCTTGAAATTTTTGCTTTTTTTTCGTTATTGTCCTCAAAAATGGCGAGTTAAGTGCATCATAAGACGTACCCCATGCTTCGTTAGCGAACCTTTGCGTTCTAACGCAGCAATTTTTATATTGTATTTCATTATTTATGGACAAAGTAAGGATAAATCTTCAAGTTTATATACTCACCATCATGCGACTTTTCTTCGTGCGCGCTCAACACCGAAAAAACCGGTCTCGATTACGATTGGTAGGTAAATTAAGCTATTTTCGGTAGGTTTAAATACCTAAGTAGGTAAATATAGCTACGTAGCTAAATCTAGTGATTGTACTGGACCTGGTAATAACTGTTAAGAAGTATAGCAATTATTGCATTGTACATATTGACTGTAACGTTTCACAGCGTAAATTGTATGTCTATATATATTATCCTGTATGTGATATTTAACAGATCTCATTGATCATTCCTGTGTAGTAGTGTAGAGATGGCGGCCCGTACCAATCACATCTCATTGTCTTAAATGTAAGACGGACGTGTAACCTCCTTGGCACTGGAGAGGGGGAAGTGTAATCTCTTCGCACTGGAGAGAGGTGTCTGATCCTCCTTAGCGGCAAGAGACAGTTGTGTAATCCAAACACCGTTTGGAACCATAGACTACCGGCATTTGAGGGATACGGACGACCACACAACAAAGCAGTTTATTCTGTTGTACAATATTTTGTTAATTAAAATGTAAAGTTTAAATGTAGAAAAGATTTTCTGTTATTTATCAAAGAAGAGTTTGGATCACTATTCTCTACGCAAGGTCATTATTTGACAGTATCATGAAAAGACCCTTAAATGACCTTCTTATCAGAAAACTAATTTCAAGCTGTGCACTGCGCACCTTTTTGCCAAGGTATGAAACTCTTGATCACTAAGGGTGGTCTGTGAGATTGCCACAGGAGTAGTCCCCAAGTTTTAAATCAAATAACAAACAGTAATTGACTCTTCTATCGTCTAGTTATAACCCAGGGCATAAGTGTCCATACCAAATACACTCAAATTCCGGTTGACCCAGTTTTGTGAAACCATTTTCAACTTATTGTATGGTGCTAACCTAATGCCGTGGCAAACTATAGTAAACATTTTTATATTTGCTAATCTATTTGAAACAATTTTTCATGAGTGAAATTCATGAGCCTTTAATTGTTTCATTTTTTACAAATTTCTCTAAAGGAACCCCCTGCAGAAGCCATACTGTCTGCTTTAGCACGCTCCTCTAGCGTCAAGCGCTGCTTATGGTGTAACTTTTTTTTCTAAGTTTTTGATTAGTACGAATGGAAAGAACATAAAAACAGAGAAAAAAAAATTGAAAAAAAAAATCATCAAAAATTACATAGACACGATTTTAATTTTCTCTATGAATTATTCACACTTCCGTAATCATTGTAGATATATATAAGGTTTGACATTAATATGCCTTATTTCTTATCAAAGTAACATATTTATATATCAAATACATTATAAACAGGTTTTTAGAAGTAAAATATCAATTTTCTTAGGTGGTACGTTAGCAATTTTGTCCAGTGTATATATTTTTAATTTATTTAAACTTTGAAATTTAATTTCAGTAAAACTGATGTTCTATTATGAAAGCTCACAAAAATTCATTGTGAATATATATGCGATATAATACATTTTGGATCGGATATAACGGATTGAAATCGTTTTAATACTTAATTTGAATTCGGTATGATGAATTAAATCTGTAATAAAAACAAAGTTGCATTAGTAATAACTAATTCAAAAAACAATTTTACATTATTTTACGAATTCTAAAAGTTGTCATAAAGAACTGAATTCTTTTAAACGAAATCTTTATTTTTTAAATCGATTTATAACTAATTAACTTTATGACTAATCAAATTCGACAAATTGTTTTTAGGAATTAATCGATGTTTTTTTCTGTAGGACCTGATTGTTGGATTTCATAAGACGAATTTAATTTGTTTGAACATTTTATTTTGAATGTGTTTAAACGAATTTATTTCCTTCTAACAAATTTTTGAATTCGTTATAATGAATTCAACAAAGAGCAATAGCCACTTCGGACCTATTAGGCCCTGAGAATTTCTCATAAAATCAAAACCCCTAGGTTTAGGTTGCAAATGTAGTATTTATCAATTGGAGTGAAAATGGCCAAGTATCTATCAATTAAAACGTATTGATAGATCCCTATTATCAATGCATTATGACGTCATGAAATGTGTCATTTTCCTCATATACTGTAAATTCCTTTGAAATGACCTGAAGTTGAATTATTATTTTTCAATATTTCATATATAGCACAGCCTCTAATCCAAAATGTGCAAATACATAATTAAAGATCTGTTCCTGAAGATCAAAAAATATATTTTATTTTTTTCGGATCTTGGGCTGTGCTCATATTTTAATTCTTTGCAGAAGGTAGTAAAATCTGCATATTTTCTGCAAATTTCAAGAACACTGCAATTTCTCAAAGCCTATTTTCAAATATCTGGAATTTCAAAAAGAAATTTTATTTTAGGAAATGAAAGCAGCAAGTGTCTTCTTTATTTATGTACATGTATATGAAATGAGAAAAAGTGATAATTAACTAATATAAGTACAGGGCCATTTTATGCATAAAGTGAACCTAGCTCTTTGATACAACAGATTAAAACTGTAATAACGAATTCAAAAATTCTGCACTACTTCCGCATTAGATAGTTATTTAATGAAGGGTAAATAACTTAAACGACACAAATTATTAATTGTTTTTCATAGACTTAAACTTTATCTTAATTGGTAACCTAATTAAATATTTTTTGCCAGTTCCTGGACATTTGATTCCACCTCTAACATTACAGAGAGGCCTTGTCTATGCCCTGTTAACAATATTGTATTGTCTGTGATATTTCGCAGCACTGTTAAGGCCTACTATGAGAAATCAACGGAAAATAGACGTGCAAAAAAGCAGAACCTTTTTAAAACTGAATTTGTTTTAATTAAGCTGTTTTATTATCACAGAACTCAAATACTTATGCAAATAGCATAGTATAACCCACTCTGTATGAAGTTTGGTCCCATAGATGGACAGTCACGTGATGAATGCATAGTTCGTGTACTGAATGCAGGTCATGAACAAAGAAGAAGAGTCGTTATGGTTTATAATCGGCCCTGTGATTGAATCTGATAAGGGATTTTTCAAATGGTGTCTATAATGCATATTTTCCAAAACAGGTTAAATTTCTCCAATACCACTTTTAGTTTTTAGTCAGGAGCCTCTTAAAAATGGCATGATATTCCGCAAAAGTCGTGCTTGACGGCATGACGTCGCGATGTAAACATATAACGTTATCATTTTTTTTATCGGCAACTTTCAAAATTTACATGTTTCAAAATATGTTTAATTTTCAAATATATGAAGTTTTTTCTATATTTCTTTTCTTGTATGTGTTAACTAAATAACCAAATTTTTTATTTAATTCCTGTACTTTCAAAATAGCGATTTTGATTTTTTTTTTTACGATACATTAGTCTTTGCTAAATCGTTACTTGCATAAATTGTTTTGGAGAGAATATCTGTAAAGAGTTTATTTTCTTGAATTATATTAATATATTTATGCATTAAAATTCTGTGTAACAATCACAAACACAAAAAATATCCTTAATATACATATGCAGTATTAATTAACGCGAAATAATTTTATCTTTTACAATTTATAATAATTCCAATAAGATAACAATTTCACGAAGTAAAGGTACACAGATTCGTAAACAATACCATAAACAACACATGTAAAGCAAAAACAAACATCTTTTCAAGTCCCCCCAGAAGGCTTGGACGCATGGTTGTTTAACTCTTTTATTGAATATTACATGTAAATACTCGTAGTTAGATTCATATCTTTCAAATATATCAAAGATATAAGGATGGAAAGAATTTGTAATGAACGCATCAAGCAAATTAAGGCGATAGAATAATGATTTGTACATATAATATACATATTGTATGAATTTTGTCAGTCATATCAATCTTGGAATATCTACTATATTCTCGTTAAGAAGTTACCTTGTGCATGTAGTATGGGTATTCAAATTTTATTGCAAATATTTTTGAACAATTAAGAATTTCCGGAATCATTATTCTTTAGTGACGTCGCTGTCGTTTACAACCACATACAGAGATTTCCCAGTTCTGTACCCCTGTCCGAGGAACATCCTCGTGGCGCAAAAATGCCGAAAACAAAACCACACTCGTGTCATGCCCACACATACCCACTACCCTGCTGCCGTTGATGAGATGAAGTAATTTAAGAGCCATTCGGGCGTCAAAATATTCCTGGGAGAATTCAACACCCCCCTGTCCCAGGAAGCCCTGTTGCTACCGCTATAAATATCATTTAGCATTGTTATGAAACGCTTTATGTCACAAATCATTGCAATTATAGTGTACATGTACATATTAATCCGCTTAATGATGTAATTCTTTCATTAATCGGCGATTTAGCATGTGCGATTCCTAGAGACCCCTTCCATCTCAAAGCACCCACCCCCCCACATTATATATTAAACTTATAACTCTTTGAACTATATCTATACATGTATCACTCAAAAGTATTCAATTACAGACACGTAACATCAGGGTAAGTTAAGGGAGGGGATCCCCAACCTTTCCCAGACAGTAATATGTGTGAGTAAAAAAATTATACCGAATACACCCCCCCCCCCCAACGAAAAGTTTTTTTTTTTCGAGTTTGAACATTTTCTCTTTTTTCTTTTCTTTTTCACTTTTCAAGATTATTGAGGTGAGTTGATTTCTTTCTCTGACCGCCCCTCCCCCTTTCAAAAACGATGCTACATGTACTTCCCTGAATGAAAAGTAATTTTAAATAGAACATACATAACGAATCAATCTAATAATCTCAAACTTGTCTGTTATGGGCTCTAAATGAGAAATAAAATGTATTGTTCTGTATCAAAAAGTGAAAAATATCTTCTTCTTTTTTTTAAATGATTCGTATCCACCTGGAACTATATGTTACGTAAGTGCAAACTGCACAACTTTTATTGACCATGCGAACAAACGATTTTGCTATAAAGATAAATAATCCTCATCTAAGAGAGTAAACTTCAAAACAAAGGATTTATTGTTTACAAAATTAAATACTTTCAATGTCTGTTTCCACATTTCTTGTATTTCTTGGATCGGAAGAAGTTCGTTTGAAAGAGTTGTAGGCAATAAAGGCACTTAGGGCCATCGTGCAGTGAGGGATCTTTTTTCGTGCCAGCAGTGCACCTACTGCGACACGGGACCTTGTCATATTTGATCTTTTGACATCGTTTTTAAAAATTGTATGATTTCAATGGTAGGATATTTTATTTAATGAGAGTGACTTTAATTAATACACTATGGGACGTGGAGACCGGTCCTTTGGATGAGAGCTATTAACCGAGGTCCTGTGTCGCAGTAGGTGCACCGATGGCACGAAAAAGGTCCCTCATTGCTCAATGGCCCTACGTGCCGAGAAAAGGACAGATCTCTATCGGCAACTGTATATAGGCGTTTAAATATACTAGTATCATGCATTGAAAAATTCTCGAGGGGAATTTTAAACAATGGTCTATACAATCAATCTTTAATTGATAATTCAGATGTACCATAGAAATTAATTTCACGATGAATTCATAATGGTCCGAAACCTTCTGAACATAATACAATGTATATGCAATTGTGAACACTTTAAAAAAACAAAAAATAAAATTAGGCAATAAAACAAATATTTAATGCCTGATCAGTCAATAGATCAGAAAAAGGATTAAATAATCTTATAATATAAAATCTCTAACAAAATAACAGAATTCATTTGATTACTGCAGTAGGTAATAATATTTAATCATTCATATATTTGGCCTTACGATGCTCAGTTGTACTACGTGTGTGTGAATATTTCCCAAAATTATTATCTGAATATAAGACACTATAGTATTCCTTCTTGACTATTATAAACATTTTTAACCGAGTGGAATGCATAGATGTAAATACCACAGTCTTACAACATGTTCATATATATTTATTTCTTATCCAAGAATAAAATCACAGATCAAGAATCATTTCTCGGCACATACATGCTCTCTCTCCTCTCTCTTTCTCTCTCTCTCTCTCTCGACTAATCGACCGAAAAGACTGTTCAAACAAATCTTTTCTCTTCTGTTTACACCCATCAATCCAGCACAGGTACAAGTAATAAGTTGTCTATCTCAGGTATATTATGACGTCATTTTGTTTATGTTTTCGACGTCATCAACACGCCGTTTCACCGGTCAACGTAATTTTAAAAAGAGGTATACATTCATTGGCAATATATTATTTTTCGTGCTATTAAATGTTGATTATAAAAAATAAATACATAAATTCTTCATTATAAGAGTGATTATTTTGGATTCATCACAGGTTTCATTTTGATATTTCAATGTAATTTACGACTTTTCATGTACAGATAAAACAATTAATTACCTGGGTAACTTTTTAAAAACACATGCACATTTACTTTTATGAACAATTAGTCGTTGTACATAGTGTTTTCTTGTTGTGAAAAAAGTACTTATACAATTTATTTTAAAGAAAAGGGTCATTAGATATTTGTGAAATAAGCATGATGAAGAAAAACGTGATTATCGTCATGATTTTTCTCTATCTGCGAAACACAATTTATTAAAATTCGTCATGTCCGCATCTTTGTAAGGTCAAAATTAAACGTTTAAATTAATGATTATGATATAATTTTGCAACTGAAAAAGTTTGGAATACATACTCGAATGCGGACGCATTAAAAATTGCGTTTATGTACATTGAATATGCCAAAAAATGTAGATTTCCGGAATACATTCCCGGTTTCGACTTTATTTCACGTGCAAGGGACGTCATACATTTTTCAGTAAAAACACATAACACAGCGCACAACTTGCTCCCAGCACTTTTCAAAATAATAGAGACAAAAGCTACATATGTACAAAATATCATAATTTATAATCAAGCGGATATCGTTGAACTTTTGAGATTTTAGAGGGGTAGTACTAGTACCTGTGATTGAAGTATGTTTCTGTATAAAAGTGCATGGCTGCGGCTTTATAAGAGACCGAATAGTTATCAATTATATAAGACTGTGGACTTTTGATTAATGCATTCAAAATATGAATCAATTTTAGTCAGATCACGCTTATTTAGTTTTAATTTTCATATTTTCAGTTTCACTAATAGCTTGATCAGCGTCTCAAGTACAGAGAAACTGCGTGTCAAACTAGCCCATGACGTCATATCTGTTAGTACAGCGAGATCAAGTCGGCTTTGATTTTACATTTAAATAGTGTTATAAAAACAAGATAAGTTACACACTGAATTATATTTACAATAATTATGAGAAATCAAAGAGTGTAAGCGTATATGAAAAAGAAAATTATTATTTATTCGTCGAGATTCATTTGTACAATTTCACCGTGACGTCATAATCGAATTCCCGAGGCTCTAGCCTGCATACACTGGGGTCCGTTCAACAGCGTATCGGCTAACCTAGCAGCTAAGTAGTAGATATCTATCTCTATTGAACAGACAGCTAACCTAGCTGCTAAATGTTACATTTTGAATAAAAATATATCAGTAAAAACTTATTACTGGATCAAATAAAGTTTATTTCAGGCGAAAATATGTATTTAAATTTACATTTAATTCACGTAAATATCCAATATAGGAAATAACCCTCCTTTTTGTAAAAATCTTGAATGCTGCAAAGTTGTAACCAAGGAAACCATCTTGGATTTGGGACGTAGCATTAAATATTTATGCTAGCTCTCCATACGTAGCGGCTAGCTTAGCTCTCCGTTCAAGAGCATAGCTTTACGTAGCGGCTATGTAGCAGCTACGCTGTTGAACGCACCCCTGATCTACCTTTGGGTAGCCCTTAACCTAGTTGCGTTGTTTTTAGAAATAATATTGAAAAATAATAACGCCATCGTGTCCTCTTTGTTACCCCAGCTTGTTGTGTTTGTCGTGTGATTTTAAACTTATTTGACAAGCGTATGAATTTGGTTTAATAAAATTTAATCCACAAGATACTGATGTAAAAGTAACAGTTACTGGCATAATGCGCCGTTGCTTAATTCTTTTGTTTTTATAGAAAGTTGCATGTTTCAACGATACCCTAGTATCGGGTATTATACGCCATTTCACGGAGAATACCCGATTTCGAGTAATCTCTCCGACCTGTTGAATAGAATTCGCGTTTTAATAGTTAAATTTTCAGGTAAATGAGCCAATGTCGAAATATGTTTGACTTTTACCAAATATTTTGTGTACATATAAATTCACGCCGTTGATTTAAAGAAAGCAACAACACTTTTAAAGTTAACAAAAATATCCTTTATTTACATTAAAAAAATGGTTAAGATCTATAAAGTGTATGCCCTTGCGAAAGTACGACTTTATGAGGCATCTCATTGTAAAATATACGTAACCTGCACATTAAAACATAACATATTTAATCAAATACATTCTCTTAATAGTTAATGAATATTAGCACTTAAAAAAGGATATGCATTGGTATTAATCGACTATTTAAAACCTGCTAAATAATATTCCGTTTAATAATAAAACGCATTTTTCATTGTTAAAAAATTCCTCAATCTGCCTCTCACAGCACATGAAATACGTCATTTTTACCAAAATGACGTCATGTTTACAAGTCCATCGCGATCAGAGCTTTGTTTATAACCAGCTATATGGGATTTAACTAGCAAGTTTTTTAAATGCATTGGTGAGTTATATTGTTGTTTATTATGCTAATACAGTTAAAAGCTGCAAATTATTTCATTTTCAGGTAGAAATACATAAAAGTTATATTTTTATGTGACGTCACATTAAACTTTTCCCGTATAAATTAGGCCCCGCCCCTTATTCAAGCCTTAAGAATGCTGCGTTTGTAATAATGATCATTGTTCGCCAATCATATCTTTTTCGATAAATCGTACCTTGAGTAATTTAAGCTGTATTGTAAGATGATTAATCTCTTGAGAAGACATCTCCTTTTCTCTCTGCAAAAGTTTTATCCATTATTCTCTTAATAAGTCAAATACATAATATTCGTTCATAACTTATTTTAAAGAAGTTAAGCACACAAAGTATAAAACTTGGCCTACAATTTTGTGCATTTACATTCATTCAAAGAATTTCAATATGTTAAGAAATTATGTATCTAGCTTTAAAAATACAAATAATGTCAATATATTCTAGCAGAAAAAAAATAATTATCGCAAACAAGATGTGATCAATGTAATTTAAAGATTTGCATGGCATATATTGAAAAATAAAGATTGAGCATTTAAAATTACAGAATTTTGAATTTGAACCATGATGAAGTGTGAAAAGAAAAAGTTTCCTTGAAATAAAAAAGATATTCTTCTGTCTCTTTTTTCTGTTAGAACTACATCATACTATACTTATACTTAATTGGGAAAAAAAGATTTAACAAAAAACATTTGCATTCTTTAGATAAAAGGTCTTATTTGCTTAACAAAACTAAGAAAAATCGATATTATAAATACTTAAAAAAAAAATGCTTTTACTGAAGGTTTAAATGTTATACAGTTATTGACTGAGTATGAGGGCAAAATATGATTTGTTGGACCTGAAGGTGAAAATGTTGCCCGAGGCCGCACGCCAAGGGCAACATTTTTATCTCCAGGACCAACAAATCATATATTGCCCGAATCCAAGTCTATAACTGTTTTGTTATACCCTTCACTGCTCACTTAAGATTGATTAATTTAATCAATACACGCAATATTATCACTTATTTTATATGTAAAACTATGGCTTCCTCAGTAAATATAAAACATGAAGCTGAGAAAGAACAAAAGCAATTATATATATCTATTGTATCACAAAAAATCATTTATTATAAATCATACTCTTCCTTTCTTCCTTACCTTGCTGTTAGCAACAACTCTTGTGACTCTTAACTTCGACTATTTTCGCGTCGCCAATATTTAACGATGATTTATTACTTGTGACGTAACAGAAGAGTGACGTTGCGGTCTAACAATTCTTATGTAAGACCGGTCAATAGTTAAATTGTTAGACTGATGTAATAAACAGTTCTTTTGTTGGACTTTTTATAAGTTATGAATATATAGAATAATATTTATAAGGGTATAACGATTTATTTCAAATTTTGTATGATATCTGTCTATGCAATATTTTATTGACTGAAAATCACGCAATTGATATAATATATTTTAAAAAAAAGATATATATTATTCTTCAAAAACGAGTAACAAAATAACTAGAAAACAATATCCTCTCTTAAATCACAAAATATTAAAAAGACGAACGCTCTCATACACTCTCAAATAAACTCTCAAGCATACTCTCATTACACGTCTCTTTCACATGTACACATATATTCTCTTTCGTAACTTGAAGTCACTTTTTTTATTTGATACTTACTATTAAGGATTTCAAGCGACATTTAAGACGATCATTTTCCTGGATTGACATCTCTTTTTCCCTTTGTACATTCAGCTCTTTAGTGTAAAGAAGGTGATAACATTTAATTCATGTTTTTTCCCAAATGAAGATAAGACTTTAAAAGCACTAAATCTAGTGGTTTACATCAAAAAATCTAGATGAATATATCATTTTCTTTCTGTGCATGCATATTCATTTCATGGGTACATAAAATATACATTTCTTAGATACAGGTGGTAGGTATATGTTTTATCATGTTTGCTACATTGCAAAGAATTTAACGGAAAACAAGAAGAACATTCGACAAAGTACTGTAGTCACAATCTATTATAATAACAACACTCACACCAATTTTTCTAATAAAAAAAACGATTAATTAGAGAAAAAGTAAATTCATATATAACATTACTTTTGGATTTTGAAATGTATAGAATTATTTGAGTTGAAGCTTACAAGTTGTTGAACGATCGATAATAGAAACAAGTATGTATGATACAATAGTTCAGAGATAAATTTTTATAATGCTTTTTGTGTGTCCAAGACATTGAATATTCCCACGACATTCATAAATATTATATCAATCAGTATAGCAGTGGCTGGTACTCTATTGTTATAATACATTATATAATACATGTGCATTATACAATGAAGACTTTCATAATACATGTAAGGTATTTACATTTTAATTTTTCTTATTTATTGTATTTTGCTATGACTTAATTTAATGCAAACAAGTAGTCGAATTGTATCATTTTATCAGTGAACCATATAATAAAGCAAGTATTGCTTTTTGGTCTTTACAATGAGTTTGGCATCTTCGAAGTACAACACATATTTACCGATCCCGAAGGGCGATATTGATGCCTCATATGGCTAAATCATTGTGTAGATCTTGAAAAACCCGCAATGATTGTACGTACAATATTTAAAACATTGCTGTGACCTCAAGCCTGTATTCTTGCATTCTAAAACTTTGCCTTAAGCTGTCCGATAATAATATTTTCCAGTCTGATAACATATTATCGGACGGAAATGATAACAAAATCAGACGGTATTTAAAAAACAAAAATGAAGAGTAAAATAAAGGTCAATTACGTTAAAAAAAGAACCCATTTTTTAATTTTCTATTTTGCACTTGAAATTAGCGAATTTATATCCATTTCTGAGAATCTGAAAATCTCATTTTTAAAAGGTTAACCGCAAAAGTTTTTGTGGTAATGGTAATAATATCACCCAAAATCACGTCTTTATCAATGGCAATTTTTGCACTGACTACTACATATATGAATGCCTGGCCTCTGAATACCTTTTGCTTTATTTAACACATGTTCTTGAAATTTTAAAGCTATTTATAATATTCAATCTAACAAATGATATAAAATCTGTTTAATAATAAGTTTTTTCGCAGGTTAAGTTGATTTTAATTTTTGATTTAAGTCTGTTCTCAGTTCATGATCATAGGACCTGGCCCCGGGATCATGAAACAGACTGAGACTTAGGTCAAAATTTCAATTATCTATAAAATCTTTAAAACTTGTTAAAGAAAACTCATAATTTGCATATAACAGCAGACTGATGATATAAAATCAGAAGGTATTTTCATTTTGGGCTGCTTGACTTCTAAAAACAAAATAGCATCTAAGTCTGAACTTCCATTGTGTTATGATCGGACTCCCCCATGTAAATTTTGGACATTTATATGGCATTAATGGAAGTAAGATTAATGCCGAATACTATTCTATATGAAAAATTGTCAGACTGTTTTTGCCCTAACTGGCCTCAAACAGTCTAATAATTATACATATAGAAACCTGCTCCAAGTTGAATGACTAACCCTTAATAATGGTTTTAAACACAGTCAAATCGAAAATCGAAAGACCTACTTGTTGCCATGTAAAGACCTTTACTACTATAAAGAATAAATCCTTATTTTGTTAGAAACATCATCCACTTTAGAATTAGACAGTGTGACATAACTGATTTTCTGAAATGAAAATTAAAAGTAACCAGAACTTTGATTACAATTCATTACCTTACTTCGCCTTCTTTCTCGTACAATAGTCGAAAGTGTGTACAACATCGGGTTGAGTGCAGAATTTACGGGCAAAACCAATACAATTATCCAAGCATACACATCTTGTGATACATCAATGCCGTAAAACGTCAGCATACCTTCGAACATACACAATGATATATTTATTGTCTCCAATGTTAAATTTTCTTCATATGCATATGCAGGGTGTTTCAAAATATATATATGTCACTTATCTAAATGGGCATAATTTGAATATTGAGCATGATAACAAAAATACCAAAACACTATAGGAAAGCAAATTGATCTAAAATTATGATATTGCAAAGTATTGGGGATATTATGATATACCATGAAGTAACTGATGATATAATCAGTGACGTCATAATGTCAGCTTTTCTCAAAATGGAGTACAACTTGCAGTAAAAATTTGTTGTAAACTTTAATTGTAAGAACGATATTCGAATATTGAACAGGGTGTGATGATAAAAAATATTCAGATCACAAATTGTTGTATAGTTTTCATATATTTTAAAAGAATAATAAGAGAATTTGACCTAAGCTAAATCCTGCCTCCCCCCCCCCCTCCAAAAAAAATCAAGAAGAGATGAGAACAATATTTTAAGTGAAATCAATCAATGAGAAAAACCTCAAGAAAATTAGATCTGAGTTTACGAAAATAAATTGTAGCAATGCCGGTTAGTGCATCAAGTGTATTTAGAACTCTTAAATTTGAGTTGTTTGTCTGCATACAAAATTTCGGCATTTAAAGACAGTTGACTTTCCGAGTCGGTTCAAGTTAGCAAGATTGACTGAAAGGAAGAGCGAAAGAAGTGGAAACCAGTTAACACATGCCGGTAGTTCTTAAACAACACATTTATTTATATGCAACTTTAAATAAAAAATATATTTATTTTGAGAGTGCCAGATATAAAACAAGAAAAGTCTCAAGTATCCTGTGAAACTTACAACATAACAGTGGTCAGAAATTTCTAAGCATTAGTCTCATAAGTTATTTAGGATGTAATGTCGAGAAACACTTGGAGAATACCATTTTAGGATTTCTTGCCATAGTAACTGAAGTGGAGAATGTTTTTTGAAAATAAATTTGAATATATGCTGATTAAATTGATATATAAAATGTATATATGTATCTTTAGTTGTCATTTATCTATCAGTCTTTAGATGTGTGACATGTATTGTGAAACACCCTGTATGTATGAAGCAATTCATTCACGTACACCTTATTACTATCAACATTCCTAAATTGAATATCGTCTGTTTATCACTTGACACGTATCAAATTTTGAAATTATATTTCTAAATTTTCTCTTTATGCATTTATCTTGATCTTTATGGTCTATTTCACAAACAATAGACAAAACCACGAAAAACTGGGAATGCTGATTACCAATTTCCTCTTTCATTTTACACCATCTTATTCAAACTCACAAGTATTTTTGTACAAAGAAAGGTCCATAAGTATTTAATTCATATTTAAAAACCAGTATCAAATTCTTATGCCTTTTATCTATTCCTTACAAAAAGTTTTTATAGCTTAAATTTCAAGTAAATAGGCTCATGTCGAAAAATCTTTGACTTTTACAACATATCTTATGTACTACAAAAAGTCACACTCATCATTTGAAAAAAAAAAACAGCAGTATTTTTCAATTTAAAGAAAATAGCCTTTATTTTTATTCAAAAAATGGTTTAAATCTATTTAGTGTATGTCCTTGCGAAAGGGCGATTGAATGAGGAATCTCAATGTTAAATATGCCTAACCTGTATACATATAAAAACACGACAAACTTAATTAAATACATTCTCTCGATGGGTAATGAATAATTGCTCTCAACAAATGTTAAACATTGGTATTTATAGCCTATTTCAAACCCGTAAATAATATTCTGAACAATAATAAAACACAGTTTTCATTATATTCTCAATCTACCTCTCACAGTACATGAAATATGTCATTTTTACCTAAATGACGTCATGTTGACAAGTTCATCGCGGTCAATGATTTGTTTATAACCAGCTGTGAAGAATATAAGCAGCATTTTTTATTCATTGATAAGTTTTATTGTTGTTTATTATGCTAATACAGTCATTGCTAATGATTAGATTTTTTAATAACTTACCAATGAATCCTATAGGTATCCAGCAAAGTAGATCAGTCAGAACGACGGCAACAACAGACTTGGCTAAAGCTACCCCCCTACGGCGGATATTTGAAGAGTTACACACTCTACTGGATTTCATGACTTCTGAGAGAATTAATATTTGACCAACAGCAATAGCGAAAAAAATTATGAAATTAAAACCAACAAAAATAACCATAGAATATTGCCAGCCAGTTTGCCAATGGACTAAAAATGGTAGAGATATGCAGATGGGAGATTTGGAATAAAAATCTACAAAGAATGGCACCTCTTCCAGCAAAATAGGAGCCACAGATATAAAGATAGCAACAACCCAAGATAATAGAGTTAGTCCGAGGGTGAAACCTCTCTGTCTTTGGAAAAAGGGGTTTTTAATAGATATTACTGTATCTATCGTAATCAATAATCAAAAGATTAAACAACCCGCGAAACATGCCAGGAATTGGAAGGATTTCATTGTTTTGAAAATACCAAATCTGTAAATTTTCTAAATGAAGAAATATTCTTTCAGAAAAATGAGTAATTTTGTTGTTTGACAGATCTAATGTAGTCATTTCTCTCAGGTAAAAAAAAAGTTTTTCATGGATAAATATGATTTTATTGTTTCTCAATAACAACACTTTTAGAGTTTTTAATTGTGAAAAGTCGTTTTCTTTGATATAAGTCAAAGAATTGTTTGAGAGATTAAGAAGTAAAAATGACAAGTGATACAGGGCATTAAGTTTGATTTTTTTCTATTTGATTATTTTGTAGATAAAGGTTCAGAAGATTTTCTATATGCAATCTTGGAATGACTGTTATTTGGTTGAAGGAAACGTCTATTGATTTAGCTTTAAACGATACGGGAAAAAAAAGAAGAATAGTTA